TTTTTTTTTTTTCTTGTGTACATATTAGCAGCATCAAACTGTGTACATATTAGCGGCATCAAACTGTGCTCAGTTCACCCATATTGGTGTTACCTTTCCCATCACTAAGTGTCTTCTATCCTAAGTGTGTACTATCTAGAAGGTGATTCCCCCTCACTCTCTTCCCACTCATCCCTAGTGACCACCAATGAGTGTAAACCTCCATGTATGTATCTATCATTGTGTTGTTATAAAAGTGAGATCATAGCATATTTTATCTTTTGTGATTGGCTTATTTCACTCCACATAATGTTCCCATATTCCCAGGGCTCATCATTGCTTATTATTGCATAGTATACTACAGCATGTTTGAACCATATTTTGTTTATCCATGCAACCATTGATGGGTACTTAGGTTGTTCCCATCTTTTTACTATTGTGAATAATACTTAAATGAACATAGGTGTGCATATGTCTGTCTGTGTCTCTTTTATTAGATATCTAGGGTACATACCTAGAAGTGGTCCTCCATCCAGTTTAGACAATTAAAAAATAAAAAAAGTCTCCAGACATTACCAAGTATTTTCTAGGGGGACCAAGATTGAGAACCACTGATCTAATCTTAGTTCATATGTGGTTGAGATTCTGTGAATCTTGTCTTGTGAAATGGTTAAGCAATTCACAGATAGCTGTGATTAGTTGAAATTCTATGATTCTGAATCATATCTGGTGGAATGGTTAAGCAATTCACAGTTAGCTGTGATTAGTTGAGATTCTGTGATTCAGAATCTTAGCTGGTGAAATGGTTAAGCAGTTCACGATTAGTTGCTCCATGGGAGCATGTCCTATTTCTATGAGTCAGAATTGATTTGAAGGCACACAACAACAACTGCATATTAGGGTTATCTTCAATGTAATGCAAAACATCTGTTAGCTTTATTGGCTGCACCTTGAAACAACTTTTGATCCATTACAGCATTGCAGGCCTGAAATCTTTCCTGACCATAATCTACAGCAGTGATCCTCAACTTTTGATATGCTTTCCAACCAGCTGAGAATCTTAAAATTAATGCAGACTTTAATTCAATAGCTTTGGGGTGGGGCATGAGAGTCTCCAATTCTAATAAGTCCTGTTCTGTTGACCACACTCTTAGTAGCAAGAACCTAAAGGATGGCCCAACCCTTGGTACACTGAGCCTTTCTCTGCACACAGTTTCACTCAAGCGCTGTCATTGTTCCACTAGAACCTTTAGGGGTTTGACACAGTCTTTTTATTTTCTTGTCTGTACCAGGTTATTGCTGAGAATTCCACTCTATTCCTTCAGTATGGTGCTAGTGGATAAGCACGGCATGGACAAGGAGCGCTACATCTCCCTGGTAACACCCATGGCCCTCTTCAACCTGATTGACACTTTCCCCTTGAGAAAAGAGGAGATGGTCCTGCAAGCTGAAATGGGCCAGACTTGTAGCAACTGACGTGATGATTCCTTGCCTAGTGGTTCCTCTTCTCTTTCTACATAGCGCTATGCACACAGGAAAGGCCTTAAAAATATCATTGATGTACAGATTTTTATTTGTAATTTTAAAAGTCTATTTTATTATGAGCTTTCTTTGCACTTGAAATTTAGCACAATGCTTTGTGTACTTTGAAGTCTCAAAGATTATATAGTATGATATTACTCTTTCTGGCTTTCATTACTCTACCATGAATGGTTAATTCTAGAGAATTTAGATACCATAACCATACATATATTTTCAACATGTTATTCAGCATAACACTTAACTCTTTTATATGTTGTTGTTTATATAAAACTAATAAAATATTTTGGAGCAAATTTATTAAAACTCATTGTGTTTTTCAAGTACTGGTCATTGACCCTATCTAGGGTTTCCAAGGAGCGGCTCGTAAGTTTGAACTGCTGACATTGTGGTTCAAACCGACATCGCAGTCCAGCTCATTAATCTGCAGCACCACACCAGGACTCTCTTTCTCTCTCTCTTTATATATATATATACCTGGTAGCAGAGTGGATTATGAGCTGGGCTACTAACTACAAGTTAAATAGTTCAAATCTACCAGTCACTCCATGGGAGAAAGATAAGTGCATTTGAGTTGGTTCTGATTCATAGTGACCTTGTATAGAGTTTCCAAGGAGTGGCTGGTGATGCTGTATAGGGTTTCCTAGATAAAGGAAACCAGGTGGAAATTTTCCATTATCTTTTAATTCCATGTTCTCATGAACTTTTTGAAGCCCCCACATATATGGGCTCCTGGTGTGGCACTGTAGTGATAAGCACTGGACTTCAAACCACAAGGTCAGTGGATCAAGCCCACCAGCTGCTCCTTGGAAACCCTATGCAGGATTGCTAAGAGTTGGAACTGACTTGACAGCATTTAACAACAACAAATATATATATATGTTTTCCCCTCCAAGAATGAAAGTCAAAAGAGAACACATGAGCAGGCATGTAAGCTGGTCTACTGGTGAATGGAAGAGGGGAGAAAGGCAGCAATGAAGTAATGGGCTGAGTTCGACAACATTCCATAGACTCCTGTCAACATGGAGAGAAGAGAGAGAACAGGAAGGGCTGGTTGATCCAAAGTGTCGTGAGACCTGGGGACTCCTGAGCCCATGGACAAGGACATAGCCATGGAGGGCTAGAGCTGAGAGTGAAGTGCATAGCTGATATGAAGTGAGAGGAGATGCATAAGAACACCCAAACTTGTAGATAATACCCATTTGACCTAGTTTCGATGGCTTGATGATCAAAACTTGACTATAAGAAGATTTTAAAAACAAAAAACAGAACAGATTTTGATAAAGGAAACAGTATAAATTGTTACAATTTGATGAAGAAGTTGACCTATACATATGGATGTTGTAGCTCAAAATACCAACAGAGAGAGAAGGATTCTTCTCATCAAGAATCAGAGGCTACCTAAAATGAGGGGGGCAGGGAGGGGAGGGACTATAAAGGCATGAAGTGACTGGCTTACAAGTTTTCAAGAGGGAGTTTAGTTTCAGAGTGTGTGGGGGAAGATAGACTCCCCAGTGAATAGTTCTTATCTTGTCTAGATGGTTCTGGTGAAAAGATTTGGGTATAAGATTCTTATGATTAAATAATAAGTAATTGTTACCATGACTAATTGCGACTGTCACAACTGTAAAGGTAGACGTTCTATAACAAAAAGGCGGGAGTGGTTAATCTTGCAGTCCAGGAATACAGGACTGTCCCAGGACCATCAAGGGAGAAAAGCATGAGTGGAATGTGGAGCCTTAGCCAGAGAAACAGCGACACGAGATGGAGACAGAGATGAGAACATGGAGAGAGGGAGCTGCTGAGGACTCTGGACTCATGGAAAGAGAGGGACTGGGTGCTGGCGGCCAGGAGGCAGGCTTGCAGAATGTGTCCTTTGGTTGTTTTAATGATTATATATTCCTGAGTGTTTTTGTGTACATCCCCCCTCTAAAAAAGTGGGGGGAGGGGCAGAACAGAAGCAAACACTGTTGAATGATGATGCACAGAGGAGATTGTAATCATTACAATGAAACTATGAGTGTAAAACTGATGTTCTACCATGTAAACTCTCACTCAATTCACAATAAAAACTTAAAAATATATATTGCTACAAAATCATGGAAGCCTTTATTAAACAAAATAACAAAATGTGAAGCTCCTGTTTCTCAACATATAATCCAGCTAGGTGTATACACTTGTGAAGGTGTTTCCATGTACCCTTCCCCTAAGAATTCTGTACTTTTCAATTTATACCATGTCAGAATGGATGTTTTGGCATCCTAGAGGAACTCAAATTGTATTACTTTTTAATGTTCTTAGAGATTAAACAAAAAGAAGTCTAAAGGGGCAAGATCAGGACTGGATGGTAGAAGGGTAAGGTTTCTCAACAAAATTCTCATGGAACAGTTATTGCTATTCTCAAAGAATAAGCAGATGGAAGGAGCTCTGGTAGCGTAGTGGTTACGAATCGGGCTGCAAACCTTAAGGTCAGTGGTTCGATACTACCAGCCGCTCCGCGGGAGAAAGATGAGGCTTTCTACTCCCGTAAGGATTTACACTCTCGGAAACCCTGTACAGGGTCGCTATGGGTCGGGACCGACTCGAAGGCACTTCGCAACAACAACAATTGTCATGAAGGAAAAAGAAATAGTTGGTATAACTTTCCAAACTTTTTTCTTACTAATGCAGTTTTTTATTTTCTTAAACGTCTTTCTAATAAGCCCCCTTAGATCCTCCTGTGTCCTTTAAGAAAATTAATCAACATTACCTGCTTGCAATCTCAAACACCAGTTGCCATAACCTTCTGAGTGGACTTTTCTGCCTTGAATTCAACTGGCCCAACAGATCTCCATAGCAGTCACTCTTTTGATTGGACCTTATTATTTGAAAGCACTCTAAGGAGACTAAGACAAATGTATTACTGAAACAACTTGTCTGCCACCATCCATTGATCACAAGGACATGCTTAAACACATTTTATATGAAAGACACCCATGAATGTGTGAACTGGAACCCTAGTAGCAATACTTCCTGACTTATCCTCATGTATGTATGTGTGTCTTAATTGTCTTTGCCTTTTAAACAAAGCCACTAACAGCAACAATACATTAAGTAACAATTTGTAAAGTACCAGGCAAATAATAGGTACTCAATAGATGTCTCTTCTGATTGCTTCCCTTGTCACTACTCAGGATTTATTGGGGGACAAGACAACAAAGAGAGCAATGATGTCATGCTTCAGATTTAAGGGAAGATACATGAGCTAAGGGAGTCCTGGTGTGGCGCTCTGGGTTGATGCACTGAACTGCAAAGTCAGTTTGATCCGCAAGGTCAGTGGTTGACGCTCACCAGCTGCTCCTCAGAAACCTTATTCAGGGTTGTTGTGGGTTAGAATTTACTCAACAGCACTTAACAACAACAATAACAACAACAAATATGAGCTAAAATCAAAAGGAGGGGCAGATTCATTCACTGAGCACTAAAAAGAGTTATTGAACATCATCCTAGGCTTAGAAACAGAAATCAGACATTCATTTAATTTTTGTGTGTCAAATCAAGAGATATATTTTTCTCCAAAGAGAAACACACATAAAAACAGAAGGAACAGAGGAATAGAAATAGGAGACACAGGAAGTGAGTGGGATAAGTGATGTTACATTGTTTGAATTATTGAATGGAAAACTGATCTGCTCTGTAAGCCTTCACGTAATTCACAATAAAAAATTTAGAAAAAAAGAAAACAAAAAGGAACACGTAACATATAATCCATCTCTAAGGACTTACAACCCATTTTCAGAGATTCAAAGACTAATTCATATTAGAACATAATAGAGATATTATGAAAGTGAATTTAATGAAAAAGATATACTTTTCAGAAAGTATAGGGTAGTTCAAAATTTTGGTCTCAGGTAGATATTCTAAACAGAAGCTTAAAATGCAGGCATGTGAAATGTTTAGTGTTGCTATTAATTTTGCAGTAAACACAGCAAGACAAGTAAATGGAAACAGTTACTTGTAACCAAAACAAAAAACTAGCAAAATGATGAGCAGGAATCATCTCCAGGGATTTTTTTCCCTAAATTGTTATTGTTGCTCAGAGTTCTTCCTTTCTTTCTGTCTCTACTTAAAAACAATTTTCTGTCAGATTAGTAATTTAGGAGACTATATTGGCAACTGAAGCACGTGGATGCCAAAAGCTAAACTGTCAAAACAGAAATGAAATACTCATGTGTACATAGCCTAGTTTTGAACAGTCTGGAAATGTATCCTTATTTTTTCTCGAAATGAGACCCTATTCAATTTCCCCATGATCCTTAACTGTTCTCAGGATATAGAAAATGTGGCTTCCTTCTCTAGGCTGTTGAACTCCTGGCCTTGTCTTCAGGGTCCAGTGAAAAATCTATCCATACAGAAGCCTGCCATAGCTACTGTATTCAATCTAGGAAAGGGGCCTGGTGCATTCATAGAGCTGAGCCAATACTTGTCTGATACTGTGATGCCCCTCTCAGACGTATAACTATTAGTACATTTATTCGTTGGAGAAGGGCAAATGAGGCCCCCAGTAAAGATACCCCTCTTTTTCCTATATCCTTATCAGTTCAACTCTGGCCCAAATTTGCATACTCATTCATCAAAACAAGTCCTACCCTTAACTAGATCTGGCCTTCTTAGAAGGCAATTTATAAATCATGAATTAACTACCTCATCTATCTAATCAAGCAGACTTTATCTCTTTTGCCTAATATGGTACTATTCCTAAGATGAGTTCTCTACTTTATTAAATTATTACATTTTCAGGGATGTTTGGTGGTTGGTTATATGCCATGGAGTCTGGATCCAAGTCATAGCGACCTTGTACAGGGTTTCCAAGGCTGTAGATCTTTACAGGAGCAGAAAGCCTCATCTTTCTCCTGCGGAACAGCTGGTAGTTTCGAACTGCTGGCCTTTAGGTTTGCAGCCCGATTTGTAACCACACAGCTCCTTGTGTGCCTTATACATTGGCACCTTGAACAGCTGCCTGGCATCGCTCTGTGCATTCAGATACTGTGCACCCAGGTGACTAAGCCACATGAGTACTGAGGTGGTAGGAAAGGCCACCTGACAATGAATAAGCCTATTTCCATGAACCTACGTGGAGAAAAGCACTAAGGGCATCTTCCTGTCCTGGTGTGCACCTCATCAGCTAAAGGGACAGCATAAGAAAATACGTAGCTATTAAGGAGAACCAGTTGGTTGGGGCTGGTGGAAGTGGTCAAAAGCAAGAAGATTCAGAAAAAGTCCAGCTGTCACTCTCCTTGCATCCACTGAAAGCCAACAAA